GAGAGTTAGAAACATCGATGAGAGAGAAACATTGATCAGCTGCCTCCTGCACACCCCCTACTGGGGATGTGCCGACAACCAAGGTACATGCCTTGACTGGAATCAAACCTGGGACCCTTCAGTCCACAGGTCGATGCTCTATCCACTGAGCCAAACTGGTTAGGGCAAGAGAGTAGTTCTTTTAAGGAGGGACAGTTGTGAGCCATTAGTAGCCAATATTCATAGCATCTGGAGAGGGGTGCACAGTAGTCCAGTCAGGGGATACATATAGGGTATCAGTGGCATCTACTACAATATCTCTGTTCAATTAAGACCCTCAAGTCTTGCCCTAGCCAGTTTGGCTCAGTGGATGAAGCGTCGGCCCACAGACTAAAGGATCCTGGGCTCAATTCTAGTCAAGGGCACGTACCTCAATTGCAGTCTCGATCCCAGGGTGCCTGTGGGAGGCAACCAATCGATATGTCTCTCTCACATCAATGTTTCTCTCTCTGTCACTCCCCCTCCCTTCCACTCTCTCTATAAATCAATGGGAAAATGTCCTCTGATGAGGATTAACAACAAAAAAGGCCCCCAGGTCTTTTCCATGTGAGCTCCTCTTAGCACATGCCCCCCATTCTGTGTGTATGCAATTTATTAGGAGGATTTAAATGGAAACCTTTGTATTTATTCCTATAAAACATGCCCTTGTTCGTTGGGTTTGGGCTTGTGAATATTAGTCTGATACCCAGCCGTCTCCACCTTGACCATTTGCTAAGCATACTTCCTAAATCTTCCTCCTTGTCTTCGATGCCATGGTTAGACAGTGCGGGGACAACCTGGAGAGCTGTGGTCCTCCACTCGAGACTTCCTGTAGGTCATCCGGACCCTTTTATCACGGGCACATGGCCAAGTGCACTTCCTTTAAGGCAGTAGAGGTGTCCTAGGAGGCATCAGAAGATGGGTGAGGGAAGAGCCGGAAAATGTGGGCCGGGCTCCCTGTGTCCCTCTGAGCAGTGACTCGCCACAGTCAGAGCCTCTGCCCTCTCCAGGTGCTTGCGGATGTGTTTGGCGCCCCGGTATATGTCATAGACACCGCCAACTCAGCCTGCGTGGGCTCCGCTTACCGAGCTTTCCACGGTAGGTCGATGGGGGGAGAGTGGGTGGGCACTCACTGGGGCTGAGGAGGGTAGAAAGGGGAGACTAAGGTGTCCCCAGTCTTTCGGGACATTGGAGTCTTGTCGGCTGTACCTTCATTTTTCTCCTTCCCAGAAGGCGAGAACCAACCCCAATTTTCAGTCCCTTTATCCTCGACGTAAAGTGGGGAAGGAGTGGCAGGGTCCTGAGTGAGGCCTGGTCAGGATCAGGCTCAGATACAGGCTCATTGGGAATGGATGTAGGCATACTGAGGGCACGAGTGCCTGGGTGTGGACAGCTGGTGGGCAGGAGAGGTGGATGAAGTCCAGAGTCTTTTCAGCAAGAGCGGGGCGTTGAGTCAACCGCGAAGGCTTAGGAGCCAGGCACTTCAGGACCTTGGACAGCGCCCTGTGCGTCTTGGCTCTCATGGAGGCCTCTCTCACACCCCTGGTAGTAAAGGAATCCCCCCACCTGGGGGCGTTGTGGCAGGAGCAGACGTGCCCACAAGAGCGTCCTTCCTTCCGTTTGGTCAGTTTTCTCTGCCCCCTGATGGCTCAGGCTGCTCCTCCGGCTGCCCATGTACCTTAAGGGCTTTGTCTTTTCCCTCGAGAGCAGCGGTTCTCAACCTGTGGGTCGCGACCCCTTTGGGGGTCGAACGACCCTTTCACAGGGGTCGCCTAAGACCATCGGAAAACACATATATAATTACATATTGTTTTTGTGATGAATCACTATGCTTTAATTATGTTCAATTTGTAACAATGAAAATACATCCTGCATATCAGATATTTACATGACGATTCATAACAGTAGCAACATTACAGTTACGAAGTAGCAACGAAGATAATTTTATGTTTGGGGATCACCACAACAGGAGGAACCGTATTAAAGGGTCGCGGCATTTGGAAGGTTGAGAACCACTGCTCTAGAGGTTCTGTTCTTCACATGTTTATTAGTCCTCTTTTCATTTTGGAACTTAATGAGCTCCTTAATCATAGGCATATCTTTAATTAATGAAGTAAATCTGTTACTTCATTTACTCATTCAGTATTTATTGAGTATCAGACTGGATGCTAGCGCTACAAAGAATAGAACATGGCCCTGCCCTCAGGGATATGTAGTTCAGGAGGCAGGAGGCAGACTTGTAAGGAGACAAAATGCAGTGTATTTAATGCCTCCTTAGAGGAGGTTTTTTTTCTTTTTTAACTCGCTGCAGTTTCTCCTTCCAGTCTATGCTAGTTTTTTGTTGACATGTACAACCTAAATACGTTTTTAAGGGGGAATTCAGTAGGTGATAATTTTCTGAGGCCTCACATGGCCAGCAAGAGCTTTGCTTTGTCCTCCCAAAGAATGTGACCTTGGCTGGGCAGAGGACTCCAAGTTCAAAATACTTCACTCCAGGACTTTGAAAACACGTCCACAATCGTCCAGCCTTCAGTGTTGCCCATGAGAAGCCTGGGTCTGCCTCCTCCTCCTCCTCCTCCTCCTCCTCCTCCTCCTTCTGCCAAAGCAGGGAAAGAACTCCTTTTTGGGGAGGACTTTGCTGCTCTGCTGCATGCATTTCTCTCCCATCTTTCCTTTTCTGTGCCTACTTAGTTGCCAAAGGTTATCTGGGGCATTGCCCTACTCTGCCCCCCAAAACCAAAACCCAAGCTAAGACCTAGCACAGAGGTGGGGAATGTCCGGCCTGCGGGCCACATGAGGCCTGTGAAATCATTCAGTCTGGCCCGGCCAAGGCATTAGGGATGAGTTAATTAAATGTTAGACCAAATATAGCAGGCTAATTTTTAAGTGGATAATTCTGCATGGCCCGCGAGTGATGTTATCAATATCCAAATGGCCCTTGGCAGAGAAAGGGTCCCCACCCTGTCCTAGCGGGAGTCAAAATTAACTGACATCCACTTCTTAGGACTCTGAGTACAGAATTTTATCCTTTCCTTTGCACCTGCCT